TTGTTTGTTTGTTTGTTTGTTTGTTTGTTTGTTTGTTTGTTTGTTTATTGTTGTTTTATAGCAAACAGTGAAAACATTTCATGAAACTAACTTTGTTGGAGAACTTGAGGTGAACTTCAGCTTCATCATGGAGGCTCTTCTTCAGCTGAGTCCAGGCTTCTCCAAGAGTCCTGAAAATAAAACAGTTCATTCTGTGAAGCCGTCCAGCTGCAGAAACAAAATTAAACCATTTGAGCAAAAGGGGGCGGAGCAAATGTTCAGTCTGTGATTGACAGGTTGGCTCGCTGCACTCACCCCTCCTCCTGCGCTGCCAGGGGGCTCAGAGACAGCTTGGACAGGTTCTTGGCATATTCCTCCTCAATCTTTATCCTGAAACACAGACGTGAAGCCGTCAGCTGTCCCACACAAACTATTTCAGTCAGAGCGGGAAAAAATAGAGGCTTTCAGTCAGAAAGCTTCGGTTCTGCTGCTGCTCGCTTCGTTATGTCAGGGCTGAGCTCAGGTTCACCCTGAGGGAGCCTCAGCCACGGCGGCCATGTTTGTGCCCTTTATCCAGCGGCCTGGCTCCCACACCTGAATAAACCTGACACCTAAATAAGCTCCTCCGCTCCAGGCAAAGACTCTGTGAACCACGGAGGGAAAAAGGTCAGCCGTGACTAAAAACCTGTTTTCATTTAGAGGAAAGTCTTCATCAGCTTCCCAACATCACAGAGGTTTAATATTTTACAGTTCTGAAGAAAAAAACTCAACAAAACCTGAAAACAGTTTGTTTTGTCTCTTTTTCCTCCTGTGAACCACGAAACTACAGGAAACATTCTCTGGATTCTGATGAACTCTCCATCATCTGGCTCCAGCTCCTAAATAATAAAAATCTAAAGTAATGACAGTAAATATGTTGTTTTAGTCTTTTTGATGCAGCCTGTTTGTTTTGTTCTTTAACTGCGAAGCTGTTTTGTTGCCTTATTATGACCCCACATAAAATGCTTCGCGTGCGGGGGCCATATTG